AGGTGATGCTTCGCAATTATATATACTCAAGAGTCGAGACGGGAAGCTGTTCAGTGGAATATTGAAAAAGGTGCCTATAAGCCCAAATATTCTCTGACTAGAATACAGAAAATGGGCTCTTTGGGCCTGCTACAAAATTATAATGCAGTATTATATGGGTTTCCATACTTGATTGGCCCATGAAATCAATGTTGAGAACACCTTTTGACGAGTGTTGTATTCAAACACCAAGTTCTTGAAGAACTAGTTTGGTTGTTTGCTCGAATTGAATTGATCTTTCTTATATTACGTTGTATTTTAGTATGTAGAAATATATAATATTGTACTGACCCACACGAGAAAATAGTAGTCACCTAAACAATGAAATGGAATACATTTGAGAAAAGTAGTAAAGTTAGTAATCAGGGTTACTTGCTTCATAATTTAAATGTGATTGCAGTTATTCGAGATTTACGTTATGGGTAATTCTTTAATTGACAGACAACCAAAAATTCACCATTGTGTGTAATACTTGTATGTGTCAATTGTCGTTTAAAATAGCACGAATCAAAAATCCAAAATAAAAATGACCAAATATATATGAAGAAATATAATGAACATGACTCCTTTTTGTAGAAAAAAATAAAAATCATATTAAAGAAGATGAAATTTATTTTTTTAAAAAAACTAATAAATCAATTGTGGATATTGGTGGGACAAATATAAAATGGCGCACAAATATAAATAGCAGCAGCAGCAGAAGTGCAGTGCTCCGACAGCAATTTGATTGTAGCAGCTGTGGAAATGTGAAAAGACAATGGGCTTATTCAAGTCAAGGTCAACTCCTCCTTCTGACTATAGTGCTTTTAAAATTCTTCAAAATTACTTTCAGATATATTATAATTGAAGCAAACAAACTTAAACAATTTTATCGCACTTAAAAGGGTAATTGATTCAACCATTAATTAGCTGATGGCCTTTAAGGAAACTCAATATCTCCTCTCTCTCTATATATATATATATATATATATATTTATGCACAGATTGGAAATTCGAGAGCTTTACCATATGTTTTCATTGTGAATCATGTCATTAGTTAAGTCAACGTCGAGCGAAAGTAATAGAATTAATTCATAAATAGTGAGAATAGAACGAGAGTATATTGCGTCCCGAGAGTGAATGAGAGGGAAGTGAAGAACGAGTGCAGAGGACTTGGAAGGAAATAAATTAATGCATGGGCATAACTAAATAACAAAGATTAACCATAAATTCATCCATTAATTAATTTCATATGTCTATGGATCCAACGCGTTTGCTTGATTCGTTCATGACTCCATTTGACTAGTTTGACTAACAAGTTGACAACACACACACACACATATATATATATGCATGTCACTTATAATTGATTGGTGCAAATCAGCACAAATAAAACGTGTTAGTCGTGTTTGGTACAAGTGTATTGAATTGACCGGAAAAAAAACAAAGAAAAAGTTAAGCCATACAAAATTATTAGGACAATTACCCATATGCCAACTATAGAGACACAAACCCGCGTGAGTGGCCTAGTGCTTAAAGATTTTTAAAGGGCAAGTCTGAACAAGTGATTGTAATGCACTTTCAAAACACTTTTCCAGAAAAAATACCCTTTAGTATCGTAGATAACCCAAAGGTTTTTCATGAAATTCTTGGTACGCTAAGACAATTTGATCTCATACTTTATTATTAATTAGTTGCCCTTATAGATCCTTAATTACTTCATTCTCACCTTTTCTTTCTCATGCATTGTGATTAATTGCCACTTCTTCACTTCAGTTTATTTATTTATTTTTCTTTCAAAATTCTCTTTTAGAAACCAAATACCAACCAAATTCAAAGATACTCGTACGTGCTGTTACAGAGACGAAAAATGATGTTTCCTTCATAAAAAAGTTGAATTTTTTTTTTTAATTTTTCGGATAACCAAAAAAAAAAAAAAAAAAAAACTTTGGTTTTGACCATATATAGAATTAATAATGATCAAATTAAATCAGTTGCCAAATTAACAGTGTCAACAAGTGGGTTCCGATAAATATTCTGAATGACAAAAGATGATCATATGATTGTATCAATGAGTTACCTAATAATGAAAAAATGCTTGGGTTTTGGGGGCACTGTCGATTATGGTTGGGGAGTCAGCAAGCACGCTTTTATGTGAGAGTAAAAAGCTTCATGAAATAAGGATAGACCTTAATACTGCCTAGCTAGGCATATGTCTATGTCTATTCATTGACAGAGAGGAGACTCCACTTTGCATATACAAAAATGGTTTGTCCAATGGAAATTGACCCCGTGTTCCTAAAATACCCTTGGCCTTGAAGCCAAAAAAAGGGAACTAGAGTAACAGTAGATTGTAATATTTCTAAAGAAAAAGAGGGATATAATAGGATGTCACCGTGGTGTCATTTCCTTTAGTGGAAACTTGACATGCTACCACTTGATTAAATGAAAGAGAAACCTTAACCTTCCCACTAAAAATTTGCGATAATCTTTTGGGATGGACTCCCAGCTACCATCGTGGAGTTAATCACTATAATTCTTAACAAGATTAATTTATTGATTTTTTACTTTTGATAAAAAAAGAGGATGTATGAATGCTAGCAAAGTCATGGACCATGTTAGAAAATAATCCTACAACAAGAGAAACACACCTACAAAGGGGGCATCTAGTCCAATGGTTTATTATTTACATTCTCAAAGAGGAGGGGAGGGATGTTAATGTGTTTCTTAATTTTATTATAGTGTTTTGTTTGAGGTGGAGAGATTTTGTTCGAGGGGAGAAATGCTTGAAGACCAAATTTAAGCCAAGGCAGAGATTGTTGGGTATTGGGGCTCGAATTAGGTGTGTATGCCATGTTTTGGAAAAGACTGACATTTATTTGGAACAATTCAATTAAGATGAAGATTGCACATAAAGAAAGGAATTTGTGGCATATTAGGCTGTTATTTTACAGTTATGATTGTTATGGTAACTCCTTGTAGGCAAGTTGTGAATTTTTTGTCCAATAAATGATTAGGTTTGAACTCTATAAATAGAAATGGGTGTAAGAAGTAGAGAGTGCCAGAGAAAAAATGTAAAAGTTTTAAGGATGAGGGTTGTGAGAAGAAAAGAATAAAGTATATGTAATTCTTGAGTGTAAAGATGTAGATAGCCTTAAGAGTGTAATGAGTGAGAGTGAGTGGGGTTTTGATATCTTGTTATAGATTTTCTTTCTTTTTTCATAATAGTGAAATCTCTTTGTCCATGGGCATAACCTTAGAGTTGGGTGAACCATGTAGAATATTATGTTGTACTTGGATGTGTATGATTATTATCTCCATATATCTTTGTGTGATGATGTGATGATGTTTATGAAGAAATGATTTAACTCTCAACAACAACCGACAATTGAGTGAGTTGAAGGAAGTTAATTTTCTCAATAAGGGCTTTGAGTTCAGGTAGGAGTGTGTGTGTGAGTATATTTCTTTCCAATGTAAAATAAAGAAAAGAAGAGAAACACACCATGGCAATCAAAAAAATCTTTCATAAGTCGGAAGCTAAATAACAAACCATCTAACCCGGTAAAAAGAAAAAAATTCAGCGAGCGTGTTTGGTTGACAAATTAAATAAGATAATAAATCAATGTACTAACATCACAACCTCCATCATAAAGGTAGGGAGCAATTGATCTCCTATTATCCTGAAATTTTGACGAGGATAAGTAATATTCATGTTATGTTTGAAAGTATTGAATATGTGCCTTAAATTTGGAATTAGAACTAAATTTTATTATGTTTGAGAGTACCAAATTGACATGACTTGAAATTTGAAAAAATTTAACTTAAAATTTTAACTAAATTTCTTCTGTTTCCAAATTCAAACTCAATTTTATACTTTTAAATTAGCATTTTTCTAATTCTATATCCAATGTGCTCATTTGACACCCCCCAAAGGCAATATCAAAATGACTGAGGCGGAGCTGAGTGCCTCAAATATCCATATTTGTTGTCATTTGTAATATTTCCTTTATCTTTAGATTAATCATCTATGTTGAAATTGGCATGTTTTGCTGCCTATTACAAATATACATCTATGCACAAATGCGTTTATCGACGTACATTTTGTTTGTTAGGGTTAATTATTGCCATTTAGATCTTGTGAAATTTTGTGAGTGCGTTTAATGATTACAAACTTACATATACACCTTCCCTAGCCTAAGACACCATTGTTAAATAATAAACTAATAAGGACTTGAAAAAGCCTAATGGAACTTGCTCTTTTCATTATCTACCAACAAACAACAGGTTACTAGTGAAATAACATACATACATATATACATACATATATATATATAACATGTACTTTCAATGTCTGTGAACTAGCAATTTAGCATTGATTTTAGAGTAAATGTGTACCCTGGTTAGTTTTCGAGATGCAATTTTTGTTTTTTTCGTGGATGTTTGTAGATACATTTCAAAATAATCTGATCTTATTCTACGGTCTCATGATGTGCATTATTCCATTTGTTGGATTTCTATTTTTTTATTTCTATCAGCATTTGTTGGATACTAATGGTGACATATTGATGTGCGACTGTGCCACGTGGGGTACGTACAGACGTACAATTCATTATTTCAATTTATTTTAATCTTTATTCGAATAATTTTCTTTATTGTTTTCTACTTAGTACTCCGTATTTAGTTTAGTCAGTTGGTTTTACATGGTCAAACAATTCTAGAAAAAGAACCAAGAGTTGCATTAATAATTGATCTCACTATATATATTTTCCCTATTCCGAGCCGTGGCACATATAATAAAATAAAAATGGGGGAAAAGAAGAAAGAAGAAAAGAATATATATATATATATATATATATATATATATATATATATATATAATCCTACTGAACCTAACATATGCTGGTCCACCTTGGATTATTATTATTGATAGTGGGGATGAATAGCAGCAATGTATGATCACTCCCACAATAGTCGTGTTACACGGTTGATCATTATTTGAGTGACTATGGATACCATCGTCTTCATCTCCTAACACGGTCCTATTTAAGATTTGCTACATTATCTTTTCCTATAAAACCCTATTTTATTCTCTCAGAGTCTCACTCACTCGTTACACACAGCATAAACAACTAGCTACTCAAGATATACACCGTCTTCTCCTCCACAAGTTCTGCATTTAGAAGTGTCTCTCATCTCTCCCTCCTTCTAATAACATCATCATGTTGCCAAGGAGTCGAACTCTTCCTTCCAGAATCCATCATGGCGCTGTAAGATATATATATGTGTGTGTATGTGTGTGTGTGTTCCAAATTAAACATATATACCTTTCTTTTCCTTCATTCAAATTCTTCTTCTTCTAATACATATATCCATCCATTTGTTATTAATATATATTTTAGGTTGAAGAGAGGCATGATATCCGTCACTACCTGCAAGTGGAAGTTCAACCTAAAGGCGCCATCAATGAGTCTGAAGCAATTAATCCTCAGGCCAACTATTCCAAGTGCTTCGATGATGATGGCCGCTTGAAGAGAACAGGTAAACCAGCACACACTCACAATAGTATCCGTAGCAGGACTCGAACATAACAATAAAAGGTAGGAGTGATCATACCATATGAGGCACACTTCATTTTAGTACTATATATATATATTCATCAAAGGGTAAAACTTATTTCTTTTTTTGGAAATACAGTAGCTAGCTTGTTATCCATTTGTAGTGATGAAGTATCAACTTCCATTAAAATAAATAAATAAATAAAATAAAAAATAAAATTGAAATTTCAATTCGAGAAGTGGAAATCTTTTTCATTCAAAAAACAGCTTTATAACCGAAGCTAACTAATGTTAATTTTCATGGATAATCTCTTGTTTAATTATTTTTTTGGTTACTTTATGGGGCACTAAATTATTACACTTACGTTGAAAATACAAGTGCATACATCTTCAACTATATTGTAAATTTAGTCAATTATTAATTTTTTACTCTGTCGATAATTAATTTAACCTTTATGTAACAATGTTGTAGTACTAATTATATATGTTGACCATGGAAGTATGGAACTAATTGTGATACAATTATATGATGGTGGTACAGGAACTTTGTGGACCACAACTGCGCACATTGTCACAGCCGTTATAGGGTCCGGTGTGCTATCCTTAGCATGGGCGGTAGGTCAGCTGGGTTGGGTTGCAGGACCGTCTGTGCTGCTTCTCTTCGCCATTGTCAATCTTTACACCTCCAACCTCCTATCACAGTGCTACAGGACCGGGGACCCTGTCACCGGACAAAGAAATTACACCTACATGGCTTGTGTCAAGGCTAACTTAGGTAAATTAACTAACTATATATACTACTAACTAATATCTATATATCATTTTCAAATTTAATTAGATTATTGTTATTAGTCTAATCAGTTATTAAATTTATTTGGAATTGCAGGGGGACCGAAAGTTAATATATGTGGGTGGATGCAATACTTAAACATGGCTGGTGTGGCAATTGGCTACACAATCGCAGCCTCAGTCAGCATGATGTAAGTTTTGTGTGTGTGTGTGTGTGTGAAGGCCACAACAATTTTATTATAGAACCCTATTACCAGTAAAAAGGAATTTACTAATATTAATGGAAGTAGATAATAAATTAATTATGTAGTAAAATCATGTATTCAATGATATATTTTAGTTTATTAATTATATGGTTTATTATAGGGCTATAAAGAGATCGAATTGTTTTCACAAGAGTGGAGGAAAAGATCCTTGTCACATGAACAGCAACGGGTACATGATAACATTTGGGATAGCAGAGATAATATTTTCTCAGATCCCAGACTTTGATCAAGTATGGTGGCTCTCCATTGTTGCAGCTATTATGTCTTTCACATACTCCAGTGTTGGTCTTTCTCTTGGCATTGCCAAAGTTGCAGGTGTACATATATTAATTATACATACATCAATATTTCTTATCAAATTTAAACAAACACTGCAATTTGTATTTAATTATGTATAATGCAATAAGATAAAATCATGCCTTGTTTTGGTATCTGAAAAAACTGTATCACCATCAAGTGTATTAATTAAATTTGTTACTGATTTTTTTTTTTTTTGGTAGAAAATGGGAGCATCAAGGGAGGCCTAACTGGTATCAGCATAGGGACACTAACACATGCCGGAACAGTGACTTCCACACAGAAGATATGGAGGAGTTTCCAAGCTCTTGGAGCTATTGCTTTCGCATACTCTTATTCACTCGTCCTCATTGAAATTCAGGTATCAAAAACATTCTAACAAATTATGATTATTTTGACCAAATTTTATTCCTCTGATAAATCCTAACAATTTTTTTTTTTTTTATCAAATTAAAAACTTTTTGTGCTTCTTCTATAGGACACAATAAGGTCACCTCCAGCGGAGCACAAGACCATGAAGAAGGCAACTTATATGAGTGTCACGGTGACAACCGTATTCTATATGCTCTGTGGATGCATGGGCTATGCTGCCTTTGGTGATGAAGCTCCTGGAAATCTTCTCACTGGCTTTGGCTTCTATAACCCATACTGGCTTCTTGACATAGCCAATGTCGCGATTGTTGTCCATCTTGTTGGTGCATACCAGGTACAAACTCATTTAAGTTCTAATCACAATCAATTATATATTTGCTTCTTGAAGTAATTTGATATGTTGATGACATGGTTTAAAAAAATTGGGAAACTGCAGGTGTTTTGCCAGCCATTATTTGCTTTTGTGGAGAAATGGTGTGCACAGAAGTGGCCAAAGAGTGACTTTGTAACAGCAGAATATGACATACCAATCCCTTGTTATGGTGTTTACCAGCTGAACTTCTTTCGCCTAGTTTTTAGGACCTGTTTCGCGATGATGACAACCCTCATAGCCATGCTCATGCCTTTCTTCAATGACGTCGTGGGAATACTTGGAGCCATGGGGTTTTGGCCATTGACAGTGTTCTTCCCTATTGAGATGTATATAGCTCAGAAGAAGATTGGGAGATGGACAACGCGGTGGGTTGCACTTCAGATACTAAGTATGACTTGTCTTATGATTTCCATAGCCGCGGCTGTTGGCTCTGTGGTTGGTGTTTTCACCGAACTTAAAACTTACAAGCCTTTCAAGACTAGTTATTGATCGAAACACTCTTCAAGAGGGAGAGTCTAAAGAGTAGGAATTCGGTAAATTAAATCAGAAAAAGATTCTGTATTCTGTACTGTGTGAGTAAGAAACTGCAGATACTTAAAGGATCTGTAGTTTTTGTAATGAATAAAATGTATCCTTAATGTTCATTACACAAATATGAAACCTTATTTTGCTTTCATCTAACCTTTCTGTCTTAAAAATGCTAGCGAAAATCTTGCATTTGGCTGCAAAACCATGTTATACATTGACGCAGAAACTAAAATTTGGTTCAAAATGCTCACCAAGACTTAAGTCTTACAATGCAAGATCCGGACAATTGAAACATTTCAAGATCATATGATTGGACTGGAATTGAATAGTGAGGCCAACCTTCCAGTTCACGTTTAGTGACTGGAATGAAAAAACAACCACAACCAATACTAATCCACAGATTCAAACAGTCTAGGTTCAATGAAGGAGCAGAGTTTTTGTGCACTTGATTTCATAGAACAATTGCTGAGAATAAGATTGAAATGACACAATTAAATATGAACACTTTAATCATTCATCCACTAAATGATTGACTAAAAGAATTAAACAAAATGATCCTGTTGCATATTATGAATCTAAAAGCAACATCAAAAGACCATGGCCTTTACAAACTCGAAAAGAAACCAAAATAAGTGTCGCATTCAAACATAGGTTTCATAACTTTTGATCTTTTTGCTTCAATTTAACAGTATCAGCCTCAACACAGCAGCTTTTGTAAAGGGTAATGGTGGGTTAAAATAACACTCTTAGGGTAAAAAAAAAATTACTCTATCTTGACTAGCATGCATGCACTGCATCATCATCAAGCCTTGTGACAACATAAACAATGAAGCATCATCTTAGTGGCTCTTTTTAATTTTTTTTCCCTTTCTGGTGAGCAAGGGTTGTGGTTCTAAACCGATTTTGATCTGTTGTGTGAGCTATAGTGGCCTCAAGTGAACCAGATAAGCTTCACTCCACCACAGCCAAATAGTAACACCACCAAATGCATTACCAACTTGCCCTATTGAACAACATCATGATTGAAATAAAGACATTATAATAGCAATAACCATGTAAAATTAATGGAGCATTATATATCACATCCAAGTTGATATTTAACCAATACCAAACAAAGTCCGGTTGTCACATCAATTTGGTTCATACCATATTTCTTCTAGCATTTCATCAACATCGATCACAAATCTTACCTGACAAGGAAATCAAGACAGCGAATACGCAATAATTCTATAACAACTTCAGCTGGCCCTAATCCTGCCCCTCAATAGCCATCTTTCGCACGGTACCACAGGCTGTGTGCATCAGAAATTATTCCATTCACAATCATAATCTAATCTATATGTGTAAAGTACTAGGCATGGCATGATTTGGGATACAAGCTTTAAATTAATTGTTGTATTAAATTAACAAACTCAAATTCTGATGAGGACAATAAAATTATTCTTGAAAGGCATGATATATTATTGTATTAATATGTGAGGCTAAAGAGAATTTATTCCTACTTTTGAGTTCACAATCAAATTTGCGAAAAATCCATTGACTTTCACAACTCGATCCAGAATGGCTTTCAAATTCTGATTAGTTCTCAAATTCAAACAAGGTCAAAAATTTAAGATGATAAACCAAAAAGGAAGAAGAAGAAGAAGAAGAACTCGATCCAGAATGGCTTTCAAATTCTGATTAGTTCTCAAATTCAAACAAGGTCAAAAATTTAAGATGATAAACCAAAATGGAAGAAGAAGAAGAAGAAGAAGAAGAAGAAGAAGAAATTAGTGGGAGTGTGCTTTTGCAGGCAATAGAGCACAAATCCATAGTAGTTTTGCAGAGTTTACCGTTAGTCCATCATAACGGTCCTTGTTTAAATCTTTTGGTTTGGTTTGGTTTGGGCTGGGCTTAAAGCCAGCTCCTTTATTTCTGTATCATTGGGCTTCCTAGCAAAGCCTAAATCACCTTTTTCTTGTCACTATTGGGCTCTTCATATAGCCCAATTGTTACAAGGGTCATGGGTCATTTGACTCACATTGGATCCAAATGAAAAAATGATTGAGTATAAATAAGTAGGTATGTAACACTATCCAATAACTTGAGCTTTTGATTAAATGAGCAAGTCCCATTACACCAATCTATTGTACATTTATTCTCAGCTTTATGCTTTTCTTTTGCATCACAAAGCTTTTTTATATAGTGCGAGTTCGATTGTATGGAATTAAAATTAGTAAAAAATTTTAGAAAGATAATTCTATCAATTTGAAGCAGTGTAACTAATTCAAACTGAAAATATTTTTGTATATATATATTTTTAAAACTTTGAAAGATGGTGCATTATTTGCTTTAGTAAAGCGATCGACATGTCTCCATTAATTGTAGCCGTGTCTGGACAAATATGAATGATTCTGACTGCATGGGACTACTGAATAATACATCATCAAGATGAGACGAAAAAAAGTTTGCCACTGTTTAAAACTCACACCCATTCAAATAATTTTTATTTTTTTATATCTAGTAAATCTAAGTAGTAACCCTCCACTTTAAATAGTTCTTTTTTTTTTTTTTTACTCATTAAAAGTCTTTTTCATTAATCTAATTTTTAGATGGAAACTCCATTGCTATGAAAAGCATAGGAAGGAAAAGATAGGAGCCTACTTGGGCCTATATTGTTGTGCCACATCACAATCTCCTACATAATTATAAATTAGATGTGAAAATGATAGAGAAAACATAATTATCAACGTGATCCTTGTTAAATGTTAGGCGAAAAAAATTATTTTATTTATTTATTTTTAGGTACATTGTCCATTATGCAATCGAAGTAGTTCGTGTAATCTTTCTTTTAAAGGAGGACACGTTATATAGGTTAGACTAAAGGCAAAATGATAAATCTTAAGTCACGAATTTTCTTAATATGTGTCTTTCTAATGCTTTACGGGCGCGTTTTGGCTCTTTTTCTATTCTTTTTTTTTTTTTTTTTCAACAAATTTTTATATTGTGTAATTTAAATTTTGTAACTCTTAATTCACTATCAAACAAAAGGCCACACTGCATGTGCCACGCACAAGCCACTAATGACTAAATTATGTTCTTTTTTAGTTAGGTAAGGTAGTAATAATAGACTGCTCTAAACACTATATATATATTCATATAATATAGGGTTAATTACAATGACACTCTTGAAATTTACCTGACAATCATACACTTTCTCTGTTCTATATTAGATGTCCCTTTTGGGAAGTAGAACTTTTCAAGAGAATATGTAATTATTGCATTGTCCCCTTCAAAAATTACAAAGTTACCATTTCAAATTTAAATATATATATAATCAAGTTTGAAATTTTGTAAAAATTTTAAGGGTATTTTATAAAAGGATGAGAAATATATTGTTTAAATTTGGTAAGTGGACAAGTATTTTGGGATAATCCAAAAAAGAAAAGATGGACAACTAAATTAGAAAGGAGGAAATACAATGACACCCTTAGCTTTGAACAATGACACCCCTCAGTTTTGCTACCTTTGACAAAGACACCAATTGAGAGCTTGACATGTGGTAAAATAACCCAAGTGCCCTTTAACTTGTAAAATGACACTTTTGAATAGCAAAATTACCAAGTTACCCATTCTAATAAATTTAAAATATCCAAAATAACCTCTCCCACATCTCTATATACAAATATTGTCAATATATACATAACCTGATATATATATACATATATATATATTTATATACATATGCGTTCCATAAATATAATGTATCAGCACGGTCACCGGAGCCCTATGTTGTGCACGTTTCATGGTTTTCCAACGTACTAGTGGGGTGGTCACCAAAGCTCTGCGCTGGAATCGACGAAGCCCTAGGTCTATTGGAGATAGACGAAACAGCTGGAAAATCGCCCAAATCGTGCCAAGCTTTTGTGTCAATAACACACTAAAACAGAATTTCTTTTATTAGCAATAATAAGTATGTGTGTATATACCTCACTTTACGATCTGGGTCTCTACCAGTATCCACTATATATATATATATATATCTACTCACATATACTGATTTGTGGCCAGAAGACAGTGCCGTTCAAAACAACATTGTCGCTGACTAACAATCTATATATATATATATATCTACTCACATATACCGATTTGTGGCCAAAAGACAGTGCCGTTCAAAACAACATCGTTGCCGACTAACAATCCTCTGACTTCTCCAACCCTTTTGCTTCCTGGAGTAGATTCAAGTGAGGTTTCAGATCGCACAAAGGAATCAAATCAATTTATGAATCCGATTCAGTTTATTCAGGTGATGCCACCACCACCTCCGTTGCAATCTCTGACCACGGTCTGATAATGCAAATGGATTTGAATTGATCTGTGGGTTGCTCCTATGTTTGTTTTCTTCGAATTTAGGTCGGCGAAGGTTTCCCAATGAGAAGTATGGTGGTTTTACAAAAATAGGATCTATGGCAATAGCGAGTGATGGTGGTAGGGTGGTGATTGTGTGGTGGAGGTTGTGGTGGTGAGTGGAGAGAGGAGGAAAGAAGGGGTAGGCGGTGGTGAAAGTGAGTGGGTGGTGACAATTTAGGGCGATGGTGGGGGAGGCTGTCTCTTTTCTTGTGGGGAAGGTTGTCTTGCTTGTGGGCGATTGTGGGTGAGCCGAACTTGATGCAAAAGATAGAGAGAAATTAAACATTAAATGGGTTAGGGGAGATTAGTAGAAGGGCAAAAGTGTAATTTTAAAATTATGATATTTTACAATTAAAATTAGTTAAATATTGATGGGCAATTTTACCTTTTCAAATTTTTTAAGAGTTTGTTTGGATCAAATTTTTGTTTGAAGGTGTCATCATCTAAAAAAACATCTAACTTGTATATATGTGTTATTAAACCAAACTTCTGAGGGTGTCATTATAATTAACCCAGTAATATATGGCCGAAAATTTAATGTGATTTTATATGGGATTTGAATCGAATTGGTCTCCCCACTCGATACAAGAAACCAGATTTGCTTGTGGTACGTAAGATAGTGTTTAATGCAAGACTCCACCATTCACATCAGGTTTCAATCTCGTGGGTGCATCCCATTAGCCCGTTACCCATTTTTTATTACGTATAAGTAAATATATAATATAACCGTACAAAGGTATTGAATGTTGTTGGTTCTTTAACTTGATTCCATAGAGTGTGACCATTGTGTATTTGGATATGGTAATTTGGTAAAGCAATAAAAGCATGGTCAGTTGGAGCCAGAGTCAGAAACAGGTCGGATGACCCGCCCAATAGAATTAATTGGATCTTGCTCAGCTGACAAACCGTCCGGATACCGGACTGGGTCAGATAGGGGTGTACTGCATGAACCCAAAACCCAAGGATCTAATTCAGACAAATTCAATAAATTGAGATATTTTACTGCTATTATTCGTTGGCCCATCAGTTCTCGGAAAAAAGAGAAGTGGTGGGTCCAGTCTTTGGATACAAAATAAAAGAAAAGGATGGGTGGGTCCACGTCCACGGGAGCTTTTGGAACGTTATAGTTTCCCTCGGAAATATATGTGTGTGTGTATATATATATATATATTACCTTTGGTCAAGGTATCTCAGTTTGGTGCCTAATTTTTTGAATGGTTATCGATGTGGGGTCTCTCTCCTTAGATTTTGCTTCAATCTAGGACGTGGGAACAAAAAAATTGGGTTGAGTCATGGCTTGATTGATGTTTGGGGGTCCTACCACTAAATTAATAAGACTGTTGAATGTATAAAGTTTGATTTTTTTTTTTTAATTGAAGAAACTACGAAAGATAAATGTCATTTGTCACTGCAATAAACTTATGGGACACAATGCCAACGTCAAAAAAAACAGGTTGAATGTCGGACCTAAGTATGCAATTTGTACCGGCCTCAACCGTTCAAATTGCCAAGACTGTAACTTCCAATAAACTACCGGTCACCTTGTCCATCTCTATTATCTCTCTTACACTACATGCTCAAACCCAATTTTCTCACCCAATGTTAAACTCGTTCTAAGATTTCAGAATAGGTTTAACTCTCTCGAATTGCAGTTCTAGTTGGAACTCAGCTGCAATATGAGTGTACTTGTGTTTTCTTCAAATTTTAGGAAATAAAATAAAATAAAATAAAACAAAAGAAAGTAAAAGAAAGGCACATTGGTATTAAATAAAAACATATGTGCCCTCGAAAACATTTCTTTGCCTTTTTCACTCTAGGTTAAACTATAGTTATATATGATAAATATTGAGCATATAGGCCTCTCATGCTTATAAACACATTACAAACTATTAGATGAAACTAAAAAAACAGAATAAAAACAAAGAAAAAACCAAAGCAAACTAAAGAACAGAAGTGCAAACAAAACATCCTCCACCTCTTCGAAGGAGGGAACATCCACACAAAACAACACTACTTCTATCGTCCGTAGCAAAAGTTATGCTACTACCCCATACGCGGAAGTCTACACCCTTGCCATTTCATATCCACCGAACTACCGTTGATTATCATCGATCATAATCACATGATCTATAATATCATTTTTACAACGGATCTATTTGAGTGACCACTATGGGGCTCCGAACCACATGCTTTCCATCCGACCAAGAAAGGGACCCGAACACAGCACCCGAATCATCCAACACCACATTCTTGCTGTCGAACGTTATAGTCACCAAATAGCTCAGCTTCCTCTCTCGCTCCGAGAACACCAGCTTCCACGGTTTCACCGTCACCGCCACCCCTTTCGGCGGCTCCACCTTCACTCTGTAAACTGAATTTGTCAGACCAACGTTTGTGGCGACCCGAATAAAAGTCTTGCTCGATACACCCATAGATGTGCTCGTAAACAGAGCAGCAATTGACGGGTAATTCAGATTCTCCGGCATCGGTCTCTTCATCGGACAATTCACCGGCGATCTCGTCACCACTTGAATTGTCTTCGAACCATATCCAACTGCACACAAGAAATTCACGTAATCCTCGTTCGTGATATCGTAGACAAGTCCCGGGTCCATTGCGAGATCAAGATTCAGAAGTCCGGCACCGAAATCATACGGCGTCGATGGCTTTCCGGTGGCCTCATCCGTCATTGGTTGCATATTATTATTAGTTATACGAGCGGTGGTCATCATCGCCGATCTTATCGCCGCTGGACTCCAATCTGGGTGTGCCGATTTGAGCAAGGCCGCTGCGCCACTTACATGAGGACAAGCCATTGATGTGCCGGACAAAATGTTGAATTCTGCTTTACGAGTATCGGAATCCAAACCTGTCGGACCGACTGCTTCAGTCCACGCAGCGAGAATGTTCACCCCCGGAGCTATGAGGTCCGGTTTCAAGATCTCAGGGTTGAGTCCATTTGGTCCTCTCGCCGAGAACGAAGCCACAATTGGCGCCGGTTTGATTCCGATGATGGTTCCTCGGAAATTGATAGTCGCTGTTGCCTGACCTGATGAAGCATAGGACTTTACTGCGTCGCCTTCATCGGCACCGACGGCACAAGCAGGAAGAAGATGAGCGTCGCCCACTAAGCCCTCGCCGTTGGAAATTCCATTAGCAAGTATCATTCCCACACCGCCGGCTTTCTTCACCACCAATCCCTTGGCCACTCGGGGACTACTTCCACGGTCGCAAATTACAATCTTGCCCCTAACGAGGGTAGGATCGAGTGAATTCTCCATACACAGTGAAGCAGAGAGTACCCCTGATTTACCGGGATAAACCAGAGGATACATTTTCCCATTTAGAGGCTCCCCGGCGTAGAGTGACACACCGGCGAGTTTACGTCCGTTCCCGAGAACCACATCAGCTGGGAAATTCCGATCAATTGTGCCAGCTCCGACTGTAGTAATCCACGGCGCCAGGTTCGTCACGGACATTGCGTTTGGTCCGTCGTTTCCGGCGGAGGATGACACGAAAACACCTCTAGAAGTAGCTCCGTATGCTCCAATGGCGATCGGATCGAGATAGTAAGGTGAGGAAACACCATCTCCACCGCCAATTGAGATCGAAATCACATCGACGCCGTCCACCACGGCAGCATCGAACGCCGCGAGGATATCGGAATCAAAACATCCAGAATTCTTCCAGCAAACCTTGTAGATCGCCAATCGAGCTTTCGGTGCAACGCCTTTTGCTACACCAGAAGCATAGCCGGCCATACTCGCTCGAAAGGCGTATCTTCCGGCGGCGGTGGACGCCGTGTGAGTCCCGTGCCCGTCGGCATCTCTCGGCGAACGGAACTCCACAGTTTCGTTAATTCCTCCAAACCCTCCCGGCCCGCCAAATCTCCCCGCCGCTTCATGACCTTTTGTGAAAAATCTAGCTCCGACTATCTTCCTATTACAATTTCTAGAAGTGAATCTGACTCCAGTCTCGCAAACGCCTTTCCACCGCCTCGGAACAGGACCGAGATTGAGATCGGAGAAGCTCCGTCGCTCAGGCCAGACTCCGGTGTCGAAAACTCCGATTACGACGTCGGATCCGTAGTCGGATTCCGACCAGAGGCCGCGCTGGTTTCTGAGGCCTAGAAATTGCGGTGACCGTGTGGTGTGGAGATATCTCCGGCGGTCCTCGAAGGAGGCGAGGACTGAAGGGTGTTGGAGGACCGAAGCGGCTTGAGAGGAGGTTAGGGAAGCAGAGAAGCCATGGAAAACGGTGTCATAGACATGGAGGATGCTAACAGGGTCAGCGAATTCAGAGGTGTACCAGTGGTAGTGAGTGGGGAAGATGGAGGGTTTAGAGAACCTGTCAACTCGAAAGATGTAGGTTTTGACCGTCTGATCAGCTGAAAATGCAAGGGTTTCGATGAATAAGAAGAAGAGTGATAGAAGCAAAGATTTGCAGAAGAAGATTAGAGCCATAAGAGAAAAAGAGTGAGAGTGGGGATGGCGAGAGTAGAGGGACTTTGGGATAGTGTGTTAGTGCCGACAGATGCGGATTGATATAAGAGGGATTATTGTCTTTTTCATCATTCCATATTAACCTGATTGATTTAAATATAAGTTAAATTTGAACAAATCTTGACGTTCGGATACGATTTTGTCCCTCTAACGACTTGTTGCTAGTCTAAGCAAGTCAGTCTATTTAATTGAGCGAAGCTCAAAAAATAATTAAAAGGGTCTATTTATTTATCAAAAATAATTGCAATCTAAGTGACTGGCGAGTCCTTGCTAATTTAGCAACTCAGTTCATTATTAATAAATGAGTCCAACATAAAAAAATAATGCTATTAATAAGGCAACAGGTTAATTTATTTATCAAAAAAGAATTAGAATCTATACATACTACAGTATTAAAAAGAATATGATATTCGTGTTTCATTTTTGTATTTTTTTAATTTTAATATAGTGACGCAATTATTTATTTAATAGATAGCTAAATAGTCAGATACCCACAATGTTCCAAACTCCAAACCTCATCTCACTTTTGAAGATAAAATGATATACCATATGATATGAATCAGTTGTTCGGTTAAAATGACACAGTCATGTGAAAAAGTAATTTGGACAAAAATGAGATGTAGTAATAAATTTCAAGAACAATTATGAAATACAGTTTAAATATTATTTTTTATAAACTAAGATAAAAAATAAAATAATTATTTCATAAAACTGGAGAGGATTTGAATGGTGTCAATTGCTCAACTCAACTTTGGTGCATTAAACTTTTATTTGTACATGATTCTCATAAAATTAAATTTGATTATAAGTCTGAACAAAATTTGAGTCTAGAGCAAGTATTTATTTTTGGTTTAATTGTAATGGTTCGGTATCAGGTAATCTTAAATCATATTATAAAATAAAATAAAAATTATTAGTGTCAACTTCCACCACATTTCATGATAAAAATTGAAAAAGGAAAAGTAATTGAAAAGTAGAAAATCCATGGTCATCGGAATGATGGGTGTCCCTTTCTTTGATAATTTGGGATTACATACACATAGTGGGGACAGGCATTATATTAATTATATAATATAGTATCAAAGTCAGATATTATTCACCATCGTACCTGCCATGTTACTAGATTAAACCACCTCCGTCCGATTAATTGAAATCGACTGATAGTTTTGCTCGGAATCGAATAATGGTAATTGGTAACTGCCACTTGAAAAAAGTGGCGATGGTAACTGCTGCTTCAAAAAAGTGGCGAGAAGCCTTTATTCTTTGGTGCCAATTGGAACTTGAAGATTGTTGACCCCACTCGCTATTTTGACTGCGGCCTCATATGCCAATTGCATGTGACTTTCAACCTTTTTTGCTTTATCAAATTACTCGACACAAATCATGATACCCTAATTATATTTTGTCCTACAATTGCAAAGTAAATGTAATAAGTAATTTTACAAAAGTCAAAACATAGGGTACCCAAAAAACAATCAAAACTGTAGTTCTATTTAATTCACGTTTTATTTTTTTGTTTTTGTTTATTTTTATTTTTTTTTATTAGTAATCAGAAGCATGTTTATTAACGTTCATATGTTGTAAAAAATTTTAAAATAAAAATATGAAAATATATTTAGTAAAAAAGTGTTACAAATTAAAAAAATATAATGAAAATATATAAAAATATCAAATTAATATTTTAATTTTTTATTATTATTCACAAAAGGCTTTAGTACTGCGCAAAATAAAACATGACATGTGTTTGTTATATTTGACTTGATAGCCTTGATTCATAAATGAATAACATGTTTCCATGATTCACCACTCTAATTTCATATGAGTGAACCAAACAGTAGAAAATGACATTCTCATGAATTAACCACAAATTGTAACTTTTTTACATGTATCAGTCACATATTGATTGAAAGACATACCTAACACACAAGAAATGTGCATGCTTCAATCACGTGAAGTATGCACGTGGATACTAAACTACTATAAATTAAATACTATAATCACATTTTATTGATTTTTTTTTTTTTTTTTTTGAATTATAACTTTCTTTTGTTTTTTTTTTTCTTCTTCCCAATAAAACTGTGATAAAATCACATCAAAATGAAAATTAATTAATAAGCCAGTCCTATCAAAGAATTAAATAAAATTATATTTGAGAGTTAACACGTGCTTTAAAGTTGCGTGGTTGGCATTTCTTTCAGCTGCTTTTATCAAAATTAAAGCACAAACTCGATAGAACAGTTGAGACAAGTTTTTTCTACTTTTTTCTTTTTCTTTTCATTTTCTTGATATAGCAGTGAGGCTTCTCTTTAATGCTTTTGTTTCGATATTTAAACAATTTATGATATTCATATATTATATATGTGTGTGTATATATATATATACAGTTCCAATATATTAATCGAACGGCTAACATCATAATATAACCGTGTAGTCATAATTGAATGGGGCACAAGTCGTTGATTTGAACGGCGTGGATCAGTTAAGCGTGCTTTTAAATTGTGTCGTGGCGGACATGTGATCATCTCAGCCATGTCCCTTGGGTCCCACTTTATTGTTCCTTTCATTATCGACATTACTTTTTCTTTTAGCTTAAAACCGAAAAGATGCCTATTGTCTATTGATATCATCAGGTAGTACCCGCTTGTCGAACTCGGATTTTGACCCAACTACTCGGAAAACTCAGTCACTCAGCCCGGTTGCTGATTGAGCATGTAATAAATAATGGCAATATTATATCATCATGGTTAATTTTCTTGTTTAAACTCCATATGAATTTTTTCTTTTTAATTTCTATTATTATATGTTATATCAAAAAGTTGAGACCTGAACAACCTTCCACTCTCTTTTTGGTCTTAATTTATTTATGTGATATTATGACCTGAATTTGGTGTCAGGTTACATTGCGACCCGATGACTCATTAGATGAGTTTTGTGTGGGCCAAGCCTACCAAAATTTTTGACCATTTTTTTGTTCATGGGTCGTGGACCTAATTATTCTCTTTTAACCCGTTATATAAGGGCGCTTAGTTTTGGAGTGGAGGAAGAGAGAGACTCTAAAATTCATACAGAAATATTGAGGAGTTGAAAACTTGTAATCTTTGATTTTACACATGGTGAAAACTTTTACCGAATCCCAACAGTGGAGGTAGGCTATTGCCGAACCACGCATAAATCTTTATATCATTTTTAAGCGTGTTTTCGTTACATTTGTCATAACAATTTCCAAGTACTCTAAGTATTTTAAATAAAATGATATGACTATTTTAATTCACAGTACTAATAAATATAAGGGTTAATTACAATGACACCCCCTGAGGTTTGTCAAAATGACAACCGTATATAAGTTGGGTTTTTTTTTAACAATGACACCCCCTCAAATTTAATAAAGTTAACAAAGGCACCCCAACTATCACCTGCCACCTCTGCCACTTAAGGAATTTACATTGTTGCCCTTTTGAATTATCAATTAATCAATTTAAATGATAAATTACCCTTCTAACCTTGTATAAAAAAAAATAAAAATAAAAAATAAAAAAACCAAACCCAAAAATTTCCCTTTTCCTCGATACCGTCCATTACGACCACCTCTATCATCTAACCCAATCTATGTTGCAGTGAATGTCTCACCCACCATCACCACCACTTCACTATTCAAAACCCAAATCTTCAACAAACACTCAAACACTCGTATGTGTATGTATATATATAGACACACACACATACCATCAATTTCAAACACCAGATCTTCAATATATATATATATCTAAGGTCCTAGATTGTAATGGTGGCCGTGGCGGAGGCGGAGGTGGCGTCGACACCGCCATAACCTTCACCCTAAACACGAGAATGATCCAAATTAAGAAGAATCTGGTCATCGCAGGGATGGGCCTCGTCTCCCTCTTCGGCAACGATGACACCCAATTTGATGCGTCCAATTTTTCCACCTGATTCAACGGCCAGATCCGAGGGTTCAACGATGCGGATTTTTGGTAGTGGTGGCAGCCAGATCCGAGGGTGCATTGGCGTTTGGTTTTTTGGTGGTGGCGGCGGTGGGATCTGAGGGTTCAATAATGATGGATTTTTTGGTGGTGATGGCGGTAGCGACAATGGTGGTGTGGGATTTAAGGGTGGAGAGGTCTAGGGATTTGGTGGTGGGTTTGATGGAGGGAGTGTGGGTTGGGTTTGTACTATCTCTTAAGGGAATGTACGTGACAAACAACACTTCTGAAATTCTAAACACAAAGTCAAACCCCCAATTCCCAGACACCGTTTAACGGTTATAGCTACAGGTTTACCAATTTGCCAAATACAAGTCATTTTCAAGCTCCATTATGAGTTGTTTTTCCTTTGAAAGACAATCCACATTTGTGATAGAAGATGGTAAAAGATCATAGGAGATCTTGTATCAGGTGTACAAAACCTGTAATCTCTAGTCAATCTTTCTTTTTTTTTTTTTTTTTTTTTTTTTTTTTTTTTGTGGTGGTGGGCTTGTTAAGGTTAGGTTTTGAGAGGTGTGGTTGCTAGTTGCTCTATTTTTTCTGTTGTGGAAGTGTGGTGGTCGGACTTGGTGGTGTTTAGGGTTTCTGATGGAGAAGGTGATAGGTTAGAGAGAGTGGTGACGCATGATAGACATACCAAGGGCAAAAATGTCATTTAGGAGTTTTGATTATTTTTTAATTTGAATTAATAAAATATTGAAGGGCAATCTTGACTTTTCACACCTTTTAAGGGTTTGTTTGGATCCAATTTCTGACAGGGGGTGTCATTGTTCAAAAAAAGTCTAAATTATATAAGGTTGTGATTATGACAAACCTCAGGGGGTGTCATTGTAATTAGCTCTAAATATAAATACAAAAAACATTTAGAAATTGAAAAGAGTTCTAATTTTACGTTAAAAAAAAAAAAAGAAAAAAAAAAAGAAAGCAAAATAGAAAAGAAATTAAAAAAAGGAAATAATATTCCTACAAAGAAAGGCAATTTCATGTACCCCATTCATCTGATAATAAAAAAAGTTAAAGTCTATCCTTCGGCCAATCCTAATTTTACATT